GCTGGTTTGGTTTGGTTAATTAGCCACCAAACACCACATACTGACAGAATGGTAACAGAATATTCTTTCTCTACAACAACAAAAAAGACTACAAAACCTGAAAAACACACACACGCAAACAAATGAGCGAACAAACGAAATATTTAGTATTAAAGTCATGATCTCTCTCTATAAGTTTCAGTTTCGAAAAACGATGATCGTTGTCATTGTCGTCATCATCATCACCGTTGTTGTTGTTCACAATGATTGAATACAAGTTTTCTGGTTTTTGCCTACACGTTTCGAATTATAATAATGTGTGTGTGTGTGGTGTAATCGAAAACTTTTCATTTTTTCATTCTCTGTCCTTCCGTTGTTCGAGGTCTTTGGCATTTTATTCATTGAACGCACACACATACATATAGTGAGATTCATTCATTTTTCCTGATCAAATTTTCATCATTATTATTAATTAGTAATATCTTTAATCTTGAAAAACAAGAATTTTCCACTACTTTCTAATTACAAATTTTCATTGAAAATCATCGAATGATAATGATATAGTGAAAAAAGAATGGATGAAAAATGATTTTTGCACTAAATTTCATTGTTTTTCTCCGATATAGTCAATGAATTTTCAGTATAAATCATGATCATCATTTAATTTTCATCATTTTTCGCCATAACAAAACACACTATAAATGCAATTAATTATTATTATTATTTGAAAAACATGAATATGATTTTGATTTTTTTTCGGGAATATTTCCCATCAGAATACCGCTTTCAAAAAAAAGAGAAATATCCAATATTTTTTCATCATCATCGTTCAATTTGGCCTATAGGCATTATGGGCACAATTTTTGTTTGTTTGTCATGACAACATTAATGATGATGGCGCCCACCATATCATAATATGGTACCACATGGTTCCATCATTTAATAATGATTACCACTACCACTATAGTAAATTCATTGAATGAATATTCTCGTTTCGTTTAGTTTTTCTGCTGGCTGGCCCGGATAATAATAATAATAATCGATCATAGCACCATGGTGAATCATTTATCTAATAAATCGAATTATATCGGGTAAGGGGAAATAAATTTTATCCCTAAATTCTCGAATGTTTCGATACAATCGATTGTTTTTTTTGTTTTAAATCAAAATCACTAATGGTGGATCAAAATATTGGAAAATTTTTCCAGAAACAATTTCAAAAAAATTTCTCACATCATATTAAGCAATTAATGGTGATAAGAGAGAATATTCTGTTTGTTAGTTAGTTAGATGAACTAGTTAATCGATTCCGGTGTTCTATCATAGAATCCAGAATCGTGAATATTATAGAACCAATCACGTTTGTTTCATTTCAGTAATTTTTTGTATCGCACAATACGATATGTTGGACGAATGTCCTGAAAATTAGGGACAACAAAAAGACAATGTGTGTGTTTGTTTTACAATACAGAATTGACCAAATCAAGCTAAATTGATGATCAATATCCGATATTTAACAACAAAAAAAAAGGAAAATTCAGACAAAATGCAAAAAGTATGGGTGCATAAACGAAAAAGGACAAAGTTTTTTTAGTTGTTATGAATGTTTGAATAGCATTGTATCATTGCGCGTGGGTGTGTGTGGGTTAATCAAAGTGAATTATAGAAAATGAAAATGAAATGGGAAAATGAAGTAGAAATTGTAATTCTCATCAATTGAATTTGATTCTATTTTATTTTTTTTTTCTTGTGTAACATAATAGAAAATTGACTATGATTGATCGTTTTCAATCATTATCACACACTAAACAACAACAACAACAACAGTAACCATTATTGATGATGATGATGGTAGAAACTTATCGAAGCTAATTTCGTTCGTACATTATGTTGTTGTGTATACGGACACACTTGCATTTCTATTTACATCCCTTCGAGAAGATTGGATTAGATTTTTTGGAAAAGCTTTCTTTCTTTTTAGTTGTTCAAGCATCCATTGAAAATTAAAGATGATGATGATGAACGAAACGAAAAAATCGATTGAAATTAAATGTCCGCGGATCGATTTTTGTTGTTGGATCGATGATTTGTGCCTTTTTGTGATTGAAAATCAACCTTGCGCATGACAGATTTTGATTTACAAATTTTCTATTTTTTTTAATTTTTAAAAATTTTTATTTTATCGATTTGATTATTTTTGGATTATTATCATTGATCCAATCATATTTATGATGATATACTTGGTGCAATTTTCGATTTAAATTCTTGTGTTTCCTCCATTATTTCTTCTTCCTCATTATCATCATCATCGGTTTTATCTTCAGTTCCAATTTCAAATGTAGTTATATCATAGGAATCGGGATCAAAATCGTGATGATTATTACTGGTATCACTGATACTATCATCAAAACTTCGTTCTTTATTATTATTATTATTATATTGAACTTTATTATTATTATCTTGAACTTTATTTTTAATAATATTAACAGATTTATTATTATTATTATTGATTTTGGTTATAATTTTACTTTTGATCAATGATGTTTTTTGTTGTTTTGGTTGTTTTGATTGATTACTAATAATTGTTTTTTTACTGATACTGCCACCACCACTAAATTTATTATTATTATTAGATTGATTAATTTGTTTGGTTGTTTTTTGATAAACACTTTCATATAATTTTCGTATAACTGCACGTTTTTCTTTCAAACGTTGTCGGGTATTATCTTGTAAATCTTCAGTCCATTGTGATTGTGGTCGTTTACGAATGGAATCGGATATAATTTTTACTTTTACTTTCGATAATCCAGGTGATTGTTGTGGTTGTTGTTGTTGTTGTGTAGGACGAATTTTGAATTTAATTTGATTTTGTTCATTAAGTTTTTCGGATGAATATAATGATGATGATGTTGTTGATATTTTTCGTTTATTAATATTCGGTAATAATGATAATGATGGTGATTTTGATAATTTCAATTTTGATAATCCACCTGTACTATTATCATCCGTTTGTAATCCAGATAAATTTATATTGGTTACTGTATGTGGTTTTTTTAAATCATCATCACTTTCCGATTGTTTATCATCATTCGATTCACTTAATTTCGATGCCAATTTAGATTTTTTTGATATTTTACATTTTTTATTTATCCGAGTTGATGATGACATTGGACATTTTTGCCTGTTTATTGATGAACGTGAACCAACCGCTGAAAGACATGATCCCATAATTTTTCGGTTTTCGTTTTCGTTTCGTTAATTTTTTTTTTCACTAAAATAATCAAATGAAATCAAATAAAAAATTTTGAAAAACGATTCTTTTAAATAATGAAAATTTTGTTCATTTTTATTTAATTAACAAGAAAATTTTCGTTTTCGAAAACCCAGAAAAACATTGTTTTTTCTCATTATTATTAATGTGAAATTTACAACAACGAAAATTATTGATTAAATCAATACACATTGATATGGCTTCCCATTTGATTATTTCATCATCATCATTGGAAATACAAGACCTATTTTTTCCTTGTTTTTTCTTTACTTTCACACAAACAAACAAACATACAGTGACCGAATGAATCCTAGGAAACAGAATTTACTTGAATAAATAAAAGAATTCTTCTTATTATGGACGAACGGTAACGGCAATGATGATGATGGAAAAGAGAATCGGTCACCAGAATTTTCTTCTTCTTTTTTGGCGGCTTCTGCTGTTGTTGCTGTGTGTGTATAGAATTCATAATACTGTAAACCATATTGAACAAACAAAACAAAACAGGACACAGAGGGGACAGTGAGAATAAAAAAAAAAAATCAGCCGAGCAAATCGAACCACACCGATGATGATACACCTAACACACACTATATTCATGATTTTTTTTTCGTTTTTCGGTTTGGTTTTTGGTGACAAAATTTAAATCTAATTATAGAGTCCGAACATTTATTTGTATAATGAAAAACCGAAAACCAAAAAAAAAATGGGAAAAAACAAAACAAAATGATAGCCTTTTGTATGTTGACAATGATGATGATGATGATAACAAACAAAATGTTCAAAGAGCTTTTCTGTTCAATTTCATTTGATATATCCATATTTTCAAAAAGCCAGCCGCCAAAACCAAAAATCAAATACTTTTTTTCTACAGATTTGAACATCATCAATTAAATTTTTTGAAACTTTTTTTTTGAAAACGATAAATATTGTTGATCAATTTATTATTCAAAAGTATGTATGTACATAATTAACCCTTTAATAGTATTCATTTATTCCATCGAACTAATCATCATCATCATATTATGTAATGGTTTTTTTTTCTTGTTCAACCCTAACTATACTACTACTCTATACCCGAAAACATAACGATAATTATGATTATGTTAATTCACATTATAAATAGTGATTAGTTTCATTTTTTTCTGGCAAGAAGCAAATCGAAAAACAAAGAGATCATTAACGATTCATTAGATGTCTGTGTGCGATGATGGTGGGGATGATGGTGGTGCAAAAAGCCTTTGTTTTTTGCACTATATTTTCTTCAAGTTTTTAATTTTAATGGGAAAACATTGCTTTTGATGATGAATTGAAGAATTTTCATTCATTTCATTTTCTTGGATCCCGGATATTAAAGTTTTCAACAACAACAATGAAATAACCTTTGATTCTTTATTTGGGTGTTTTTTTCTCATTTCTCATTCAAATTCAGATCGCCTTATGATGATGATGATGGTAACCAAGAGAAAAAATTCTCATCCATCAATCATGTTGGCTGTCTTTTTTCTCTTTTTTTACTTAACACAATTCGAATAAATTTCGTTGTTGTTACGGCTGTTGTCTATCTTTGTTTCTTTTACGCATTTTGATCGATCGATTCTGTCTTTTCACCGATGTGAAAAATTCATTCATGCACATCCCTTCTATCCATTCAATTTTGTTTGATTTCCATTAGTAGAATTAGCAGAAAATGTAATAAAAGCAAAATTAACCCTTTTTCAATAATTTTTTCTCTCTTTTTTTCGAATAGATCCACCCGTTGTTGCTATTGAACCAGAAGGCCTGATTGCTGTCAATGAAAGTTCAACAATACAATTTTGGTGTACATATGATGCAAATCCAATGAATATTTCCGAAATACGTTGGTTTAAAGATCATCGTCCATTAGATTTTCCAAATGAAAATAATCCAAATAATAAAATATGGATGTCACGTGATGAACGTGGTACACCAATGCTGACAATCAGAAATATTGATCGTAATGATAGTGCTAATTATAAATGTCGTATACGAAATAAATTTGGTGCAACCGATTCCATTACCACCGCACGTTTAGAAGTTGCCTGTATGTATTCACATTTATGATTTACGTTTGTTTGTTTTTTTTCACTAACCACAATTTTCCCGCAAAGATCCTCCTGTTGTATCGTTAGAAATTGTTGAACCAAAAAATCAAATTATTGAACAACGTTCATTGGATGTTGGATCATCATCATCACTAACATTACCAACAATGACATTACATTGTCAAACATTACACGGCAATCCAAAACAATTACAAACTGTACAATGGTATCGTAATGGTCAACATTTTTTAACAACAATTTCATTTCGTAAATTACAATCACAACCTTCGCCAACTTCATCATCAACATTATCATCATTATCGACAACAACACCATCATTTTTACATCATAGTTTTTATCATCGTATCGGTACGGGTAAACATTTTCAATTGATTGATGAATCAACACCATTATCAGGTCCATTGAATGGCGAATTTTTATTAACACCAAATGGAACATCATGGTTAACAAATCTAGCTGAACCATATGTTCATTATCTTAATGAACCGGAAATGTTAACAATTGCTAATGTTACACGTGAACATCGTGGTAATTATAGCTGTCTTGGTTTTAATGGTGCTGCTAACGGTAGCCGTTTGTCGAATGAAAGACAAATTTTAGTTAAATGTATGTTTGGTTTAAAAAATTTCGTTGAAAAAAACCTTTTTATCCAATTTTCCTAATGATAATTATTACACAGATCCACCAGGATCAGCATCTTTAACCATGACCAGTAATAGTGATACAAATGATCGTTATGTATTGAAAGGATCACAAGCCGTTTTGGAATGTCGTATTGATGACCCTGGTGATCCACCAGCTCATTCAATCATATGGACACATAACGGTTTACGTATTGATCGTGCTACAACACATTTTCAATCACCACCACCAATTATGACAAGCAATTCGATTCAAAGAAATTCATTGATTGCACGATATCGAACACCAAAAGCTGATATGACTGTTTCAGGTGAATATCGTTGTCGAGCCATCAATGATTTAGGACAAGGTGAATGGGGTACATTTCGTTTGGATGTTAAATGTAAGTCATTTCGTTTGATTCAATTTGATCCAAGCATTGATTTCATCATCATTTTAATCATTCACAGCTCCACCACGAATATTACAATCACTTCCAACAACAATCGGTGCTTTATCGGATCAAAATCTAACATTAACATGTCGTGTTGAATGTCAACCACCATGTGAAATACATTGGTTTCATAATAACCTGACTCGATTATCACCTGATACACGTGGTATTCTTCCATCATCACCACTATTAACAAATGAATATCGTGCAAAATTACGTAACGGAAATGAGCTAACATTTTCATTGATTAATGAACAAACCGAAGGAATCCAAGGACCAACACATACGTGGTCATCAATAACAATACATAATACATCAATGTTATTTGATTTTGATCAATTAACATGTGTATCATCCAATTCGGATACCGAAGAATTAGGACCACCAGTTTATTCAACGGTTGTTTTTCGTCGTGAATGTATGTTTTTCATTTATCCTTTTCATTCAACCATTCAATCTAATATATTTTCTATTTTGATCATTGATTTTTTGTTTGAAATAGATTTACCACATTCAGTTCATTTATCCGTACCTGGTATTGATCTATTAGAAGGTGAAAGTTATCCCGAAAAACCAATTATTTGTCAAGCATTTGGTAATCCACAACCACGTTATTATTGGACATTCGAACCATTCATACCATCATCATCATTATCATTAGGTTATTATAATGATAATGGTGAAAATCATTCGCATCACAATAATCAAACGATTGTTGCAATTGGTTCACAATTAATATTGGATAAATCAATGGCACAGAAAAATCGTTTAAAACAAGGAAAAATATCATTCGAATCTTCATCATCCAACATTGATCAATCATCGAATCAAATCAATCAATTAACAAATTCTGGACAGCAACAACAATCATCGCTGAAACAATCAGCAGGACGTTTTTATGCCGAAAGAACTTTATCCGGTAATTATACCTGTGTTGCTACTAATCAACATGGTTCAACATTGGCTACATTAACTATCAATGTTTTCTGTAAGTTTTTTTTCAATTTTGATTTTTGATGAATGTTTTTTACCTTAAACCTTTAAATCTCTATTTTTGTTGTTTGATTTCATCAATAATTATAGATCGTCCTGAATGTGAACTTCGACGTATTAATACTGCCAAAATACTTCGTAACCGGCAACGTTCACAGCCACAACAACAAGATTCAAGCCGTACAGATCAACAGCCGCAACCAATTCCAATAATGTTATCTTGTACAGCCATTTCAAATCCAGCACCTGGGAAATTTGCCTGGTATCGACGAAACGGTTCTGAATTATTAGAAATTCATCCATCCATTAATTCTGATCATTCATTATTTGTTGCAATATCACAAGATTATGATTATGCAAGTGATTCATCCGGATCTCTATTTGATTATTATCATCAACAACAACCATCACAACAACATCATTATCAAAATGATGACGTTACTATGGTTGCTGGTGGTCATAGTATTGGAGGACATACCAGACAAAGTATTGTAATGGGTGTACCATCGGATGCTAATCTTGATGAATATGCTTGTGTTGTTTCGAATGCTATTGGTGAATCACGTCCATGTTGGTATGAAGAAACACCTGTTTCCGGACAGATCATGTCACCATCATCGACTGGTGTTGGTCATTCAACAAATATTGCTGATAATGGATATGATAATTTATTTATGGTTGCTGCATCAGCTGGTCTTATTGTATTTTGTTTAGTACTATTTGCTGCTGTTGCTATTGTTTTTTGTTTTCATCGTAATGGTAATAATCGCAATGGAGGTGGTGGTGGTGGTCATTCATCATTTAAAGGATTTGGTGGTTCACATAATTCAATGATTAACGGTGGTGATGATGATATTAATACACCAAAACGTTTAAAATTGAATCGACCATCACATCATCTTTTGATGTTAGATGCACATCATCATTCGATGGATCATCAACCATTAGATTCTGTATATCTTACCAATACAATCGATACAAATCGTTCAAAAACAGCAACATTGACTGCTGGTTATCGAATGGCTGGAAATCAACAACTTACAACACCATTAATAACGGGAACATTAACAAAATCATCATTTTATAATCAACGACAACAAAATCATTATAGTACAGCTGATGGTTCTATCTATGGGGGTGGTGATCGATCAAATTCCGATGATCATGATGAAGATGATGATCAAGGTGAAAACAATCCTCATCAAAGTGCCTCATCAATAATGAAACCATTTTTAGTTTCATATCCATCACCTTCGATTGGTAGTGCTGTTGATAATGGTGATGATAGTGGTGGTACTACTAATGAAGCTAATCCAGTTTATGCTGAACCAGAATATCATTGTTTAGAATCATCATCATCTGGACATAATGATTGTCAATTAACCGGTTCAACATCAGTGACTAATTCATCATCGGGTAATAATTCAAATACATCGGCAAATCTACAAATTCTACCACCATTACCACCACCGGATATGAAACAAAGATTTACATTAGCTAAATTTAATAAACAGGGTAATAATCATAATCATCAGCAACTAACCACCAATCATCATCATCATATGGAAATGGATTCATTATCATCACCGCCAGCTAATCATTCAAATGAAAATGTTGTTGTTGAAGAAGATCATTATGAAAATAATCCATATCTATCCAACTATGAAGAGATTGGTGAAAAATCCAAATTATCATCCAATTCATCTATAGCAAATTTAAGAAAAAAACGTCCAAAAAATAAGCCAACAACAAAACAACTTGTATCATCATTAACAAATGGACATCATCATCAACAATCAAATAGTTCGGATTATTCTGATTCGGGTGGTGATTCCAGATCGTTAAATGTTAAATCGGATAAAAAATCCATTCAAAATCGACAGGAAAAATCAAAGAAAACCAATCTAATCGAACCAGATTATGAATCTTATAATGAAGATGATGATTATGAGGATGATGATGATGATGATTCATCCGTACCATCCACTGCTTATCAACCTGAACGTGATTTCTTTTTCATTCAAAATAACCAAAATCGATCACAACAACAAACATTCCAAAATCCATTATCAACAAGCAGCAATAATAATAATTTATCAGGTTCATCAAGACGTCGATTATTACCACAAACCACAAATAAATATGGATCATTAATATTACCAACGAATCAATTGGATTCACCAACAAATCAATCATCATCAAGATTTATTAATCCAAATCAGGCTACACCACAACAATATCATCAATCACCAATATCGACAAGATTATATTATAATTTTGATCATCAAAATGTTAATCCGGTAATATCTTCAGCAGGAAATCCATCATTATCATCACCAAATCCATTCTGTAATAGTCTTCGAAATTTTAATAATAACAATTGGCGTAATCAAAATAATAATCGTCATCGAGCTAACAATAATAATTTAATGATTCGACAACATTCAGATAATAATCAACAAATTGGTGGTACATCAATACCACCATCATCATCAACAGCATCTTGTTTTCGACGTTCTGAATCAACTGAACCATTACAACAACAAGAACCACCGGATTATCATCAAACTATTTTGGATCGTTTTTATAATGAACAACAACAACGATCAAACCTTGATGATCATCTTTATGGTTAGATGATGATCAATTTCAATTCAATTCAATGACCGAATTAATTTTAGGTGCAACATTTTGTTTTTCTGTTTGGTTTTTTTTCGTTTTAAATCCATTTCAACAATCAAATTTTCAACACTATTTCTACTCAGTTACTATTTTGACATCATCAATCGAATGAAAATTATTATTATTTTTTTTGAATATTTCTTCAAAATACTCGCCTTAGAATTGCATAATGTTAAACAAACAAATGATGCGACCAAATTGATGATTGAAG